CCAGTGATATTTACATTTTTACCTCTGAAAATCCATATAATTACTAAAAATGTCACAAGTTTTATAATTAAAATGAAAGAATTACACTACATAAATACAAAAGAACAGGGATACTAACAACTGCACTCAATCTTAAATTGTTCCTTCCACCCCTATTTGACTTACACCCCAAAAGACTTCATGTGAATATTTATCAGAAATTGGAAGGATCAGCACTTGGCCTGCATATTATTTTAAAGATTTATACAAAGGTTGAGATTTCATGGGTCTTTCGTTTACATCTGTCATAGTTTTCCTTAAAATTTCCTCCAATTTTCCTACTGTTGTAGAATTCTAGTTTAACACAGGTGTTGCTAACATCTTGACGATAGTCATCGCCAGTTAGTACACTCCTGAAATGGATACTTTGAAACTCTGGAATGTTGCCCATATTTCTTCTCATCTTAGCTATCCCAGAAGGCCAACTCACTGTGGAAAGACAACATCAGTTATCAAGCATTTCACCATTTTAGCCACCACAAAGAATTTCAGCTGAGTTCTGGGGAAAGGAATGATCACTGTGGCCAGCTTATTCCACCTTTTTTTTGAAAGAGAAGAGGGAAAAATTGAAATTGCAAGTGGAATTGACAACATTTTTTGGTTCAGGTAAAAGCAAGAAACAGCTCAGATATAATAATTAATGCATTGAAAAAAAAAATGAGGAATGGAGCTAAAAGGGACTGGAATGAAAAATGTCCCACATAGCTCACAAGAAGAAGTCGTAGCTAGGATACATGTTACCAGACCTCTATTTTACATTTTATTTTTGGATTTCCAATATTTGCTTTTTTGTTTTTGTCTGATATAGCTAGAAATTGTATGGGTTCACGAAGCAACACCTTTAATTTGGAGAAAGTGAGTGGAATCCAAGGGAAAGTTGTTCATTATAAGAATATGCTTGTTCGAGTGGTGAAGGGCAGTACTGTATGGAATCTGGTTGGGCCTCAGTTTAAAAAAGAAACCAAGAGTTCCTAGATCTTTAGTAGGATGAAGCTGTGGAGGTTATGGATATTTATTGTGTAGAGAATACCATAAGGGTCAGAAAGCGATAAACTATTCAAGTGGTTGATTGTATTGGAAAAGTAACAGATGTGGGTGGGAGGAGACTGGACGAGGGGAGAAAACATAGAATTGACACAGGAATTAGTTGTTTCCATTGGGCAAGCCGAGCTGAAATAACTATCTAGCATGGCAATACTATTTGTGAATCTTGGGCTGGAGGTGAAAATGGAGTTGTGTGTGTGTCAGGGCCTATGAGAATCGAAGCCCCTAGAGGGAAGATCTCCTATGCAGATATAGTCAGTATTTTAGAAATGAAGGTAAAGAGAAGAAAAATAAAAACAACAGCAGTCAGAGCTCCACAAAAACCAATGCCAGCACATTGCTAAAAAGTGCAATTGAGGAAACACCAGAACAACAGCAGAAGAATAACCATTGAAAATGTTGCAAAATGCAGCAGCAACATAATGAAGAGTGCCTTCGGGAATAAGTAATAAATGTAATTGTTGCAGAATAAATGGGATTACTCATTAGGGAACAATGTAAAATAGGTTTACTGGGCCCCTGCACCATACAGCATATCTGTCTGTTGCTCTTATCCCACCCTTTACACAAAGAATTATGACTTTGGTGCATCTACACATTGAGCAAACTATCCGTCCTGATCTCCAGCCATGGAACAAGGTTTTGGTCTTCACTCTCCAGCCTTATCTCTATGGTTCTGGTGAGTGACACACACCATTCAAGCATCCAAACTAACTTTGCTCTGTACAGATTTGGTTTGGCTGCAAAGGTGGCAGTGGCTCTGGGATGAGAGTCAGGGGTGGTTAGGGATGAGATTTAAAACACTTTACCTGTTTCTTTTTCCCACTCTAATCATCTCTGTCTCTTTTCATTATTCTTTTGTATGACATACATAGTTTACGATTTGTTGTCGTGGTGTTTCTCAGATTGCTTGCCTCATTTCCCAGATTCTCTCTCCCTTTCTCTACATAAGTAGACAGGCATAACCTTTCGAATAAAACCACAATGTGCTGTGATTTGTACGTATACTTATGTCAACAGCTGTGAGTGCTGTTGCAAAAATTTCCTTTTGAAGGTATGCATTTAAAGCCTTCCTTCATGGTCACATTGAAGCATTTGCCATAAACCAAATTATCAGGGGTCTTGTTGTCTTTTTTCTTGTATTTTGTGAACTAGAAACTGCTGTCAAATAAGGTAGAAAATCTCAACAGATACAATCTCTCTCTTTTCCTGTCATCTGTTGTGGAACTATCCTTGCTCTTGGGAGAAAAAAAATCATTTTTCTTGCCTTGAGTTTTCTATTGAGCCATTTGACATCAAAATATTTAAACCATTTCATTTGACAGCAATCATTGATCACAATCTCTCTGCTCTTTTATGGAACAACTTCTGAATTTTACTGTATTTTAGATATTACTCACCTGATAATTAAATCTTCATAAAGTAACCAGAAAACCTTGCTCAGGAAAATGACTTAAATCTACCCTGATACATAACATCTCACTAACTACTTCCCTCTCCATGTATTTGGCACTTGTTTATTTCCCTCAGTTCCCTCAAAGGCGGTACAAATTAATCTATTTTTAATAAACATTATAATTGTGTTTTTAAAAAAATAATTTTACACAGCTTGAAATTCAGCACAGGTGAAAACTAGATGAAAAACTGTAGAAATAGAGACTGTGTTGTAGTGCACACATCCATTGAAGTGCTGGCATGCTGCAATTGTTTAAAGTGCTAGTTATCATTCAACATAAATCTTTCTTCTCCAACTCATTTTTCCTAACCACTCACTGTCCTTGAATGCTCAATGATGTGATCCCACTTGCCATGTTGGGATTGTGCCTGCTGATGCCGTCCACAGCTAATCCCAGTGGAGTACTGAAGAGCCAGAGGTTTTAGCGTAATTAGTACAAGGCCAATGGCGGTTAGTAGCAGAATACATACATCTCAAGTTGCCACATGCCCAAACCTTGGGATGTCCAGGCCAGGAGGTCTTCCTTAAATTACCTCTAAACCTCCTGCCTTTCACTTTAAAATTATGTCCCTTGATATTGACTCACCACCTAGTAGGAACAGCTCTTTTGTATTCACCCTATCCATGTCCTTCAAAATCTTATACACCTCAATCTTCTCTTCTCCAAAGAAAAGAACCTGAGATTATCCAGCCTCTCATCATAGCTGAGATTGGAAGACGTGTGTGAATGTCTTGATGGTACAGATTGAGAGTGATAACGAAGGTGAAACGTTAGAATTAATAGTTCACTTACTGATTTGATTCTTTTATTCTTTTTATTCTTGTATTCTTTTCATGCTTTAATAACATTGACTTTTTGGGTTTCTAACTACATGCTGTCTAAACATCAATGCCCTGATACAGAAATTGTCATCCAGCAGCTTTTATAAGGTACTTACACAACCTCATCAGACTTTGAATTGGGCAAGGACTGACCAGCAGTGTTCTATTCCTAGGCTTGAAGCAGGGGGAAATACTTTAAGCAGATTATATTATGTTTGTAACACTATTTCAACATGAGTTTTCCCCAAAGCAATCAGAACTACTGCAGACTGTGCGTGGGAAAATCAACTCTACAAATCACATGTAACTGAAATGTAATTTAGTGATTTGTGAACTGCAATTCTTCATGTTGTTAGATCCAGCATCTCCAGCTTTGCTCCCTCCCAAGATTTCTGAATTCAAGCCCAGAATTCACAAATGCCGATGTCCCTCTGGCCCCATCTTGTACTCTCACTATTCCGCAGCACTATTTCTCATACGACCCAGCCTCCATGCTGCCCACCAAACCTCCTCCATGAATGCTCTCCCCTAAGCCACCAACTATGTATCCTTCCTCCAACCCCCACCATCACCATCACAATCCTCACCACGGGAGCCCATGCATACCTGCTTAACCTGCAGTTCCCCAAGACCTACAATACCCAAATTGATATTCTCCATGTTCTAAGATCTCACTCAGTCAAGAGAATCACAATCATCCTTGCAAAACTTGAAATCCCTGTAATTTCTTCAATAGTGTGAACTTTTGAATTTCTGGTAAACTGTATTTGCAAAGGCTGAAACTGTTCAATGAAAAGAAGTGAGTGAATAATGGAGATTTTCAAAGCATATGTTAACAATTATAGCAAAAGTGAAGATGAAATATTCTTCTGGTTTGTGATAAGTTTGGGAAAAAAAATTATCAGAGATACTAACAATCACCACTCAGAATTTGATTGTTTTGGGAGAATTTTAATGAGCAGCTGTTGGATCTAAGAGAATGAAAATTTCATTAAATTAACTTGCTCTTGAATATATGGTATGCATCTCATGGAATCCTGTTGTTTAATCGATATGTTAAACAAATATTATGCTATTTTCTTAACCACAAAACTACAGTGGCTTGTTTATTTAAGGCATGGGTTATCCAAAGCCTAATGAAAATGAAATTGAGACCTGTTTTGTGCAATTGAACACAGCATACTTTATAATGTATTGCCTTTGACCCATTTGTCCTTCAGAACTTTTCATCCTAGTGTTTTCCATGGGATATTAATCTTCCTGGACGTAAAAAACAATCAGTTGGAATAGTGTTCAGAGTTATTTTAACAGTATTCCCGTTTTGCCACAAAACCACAAGACATATAAAAAGAACACCGAGCTATTTAACAGCTTTGCAAATTTATATGGCAGATCCACAAATTCATGCCATTATGTAATTTCTCTCAGCACTAAATTGTATATCAACAGATTCATCTCCTGATTTGTCATTTTTCTTTCAGTCAGCGTCATGTTCTACAAAATCATTTACAGCATTGTATTTAAAATTAGATTTGGAAAATCTGAAATTACTGTAGGTGAGTTATATACTTCTGGTCTATAGAATGTGAAATTTCTTAACAATATATGCTAAGACTGTATCTGTTGTTCACATGAATAGGTCTGTTACTTCCCCCAAAAGGAAAGCTGGATATCCCTGTGATCTTTGCACCTGATGACATGGTTTTATATGAGGGTCTGTTGGTGGTACATATTAAGAAGCAAGATGGAAGTAGTTGGATTTATGAAATGGATGTAGTGACCAATAAAGAACTAAGAAGGTAAGATGAAGAAATAAACAGATACTTTTTCAATAACTTTTTAAAGGAATAATTAAACATATAAAATATAGTTGTGCTACTGTTGATACAAATGCTGTATCAAGTGTGCTGACGATGGATTATTGCACAATGATAATTAAACATTAAAAGAAGTTGAGAAGTAATGCTATAGGAAATAAATTTACTTGAATGTCAAAAACCTCAACAAGGATTCTGTGCTAAACACTTGTTAGAAGGAAGTGACGTATCAGCTATAAAAACATGGCTATTGTTGAGGTTTGGCAACCTGATGTTTACAGATTCCCAAAAATGCCCCTGAAGTTCACTGCTTTCTGCACTGGCAAGTGTCCTGAACTCTGGGAAATGCCCTCAACAGGTCTTAAATGAAAATAAGTATCATATTTATTGGAATAGTCTCTCTTTCCCATGTCATTGTGATGATAAATGTTTTGGTAGTTTCCAATCTGTCTGTGTTGATGAATGCACTGACTCCAACAGATCACTTTGATGCAGCCAAATACTCCTCAGTTAAAACATGAAGTGGTCACATTGTTGACATTGGGGATGATGTAGTGTGGTGATTGGTTGTAGGGATATGCAAGTAGATGGTTACATATTCATTTTGTGGGAGAAGTTCTATTTTAGAGTATTTGAACAACTTAGTAACTGCTTGCAGTGCTGACCACGAGTTTACAAGTTGTGGTTTTAAAATGCTAGTGGTCACTTTAAATATTCAAACAAGAAGGGGATTTCACCTAAAAGGGATAAATGACTGAGTCTCAGTGTACATAGATGTTTGAAGTTAAAATTAGCTTACAGATTATGATATATAAATGCAAATAAGTCATTTTGATGAAGTGACTAAAGTAATGGGCAGTGAAATGTCTATGAATGTTAGTTAAATGGATTTCAGAAGGCATTTGGTAAAGTCTTTTATAAGAGATGTTAAGTAAAGTTGAAGCTTATAGAATTAAAGCCAAATTATTGACCTGGTTGGAAAATCAACTGAGCAGCAGGTTACAAAGAGAAGTGATGAATCACAGGTGCTTTTATGATAGGATATGACTAGCAATGTCCTGCAAAGGTCTGGATTTGACTCTTAACTATTTACCACATCTAGAGACTTGGCCAAGGCATTTGAAAGCCTCACAAACAAATTTTGCTGATGACACAAAAATAAGTGGCATTTTTTACATGATAGGTAGAAGCATTATAGTATGAAGAAATGTTGGTAGCTGAAGTGAATGCAGAAAACTTGCAAATTGATCTCAATGATGGTATATTCAAGGCCACTGACTTTAGGCCTAAAAAACATAGAAAAGGATCCTTCCTTAATTGAGAACTGTGAAAAACTGGTGATCTGAAGAGACTTGCGGTTTCAGATACATGGGCCATGAAGTGTTGTGATTAAGTACACAAAATAATCAGAAAAGTGAAAGGAATGCTGAGCTTCACATCTACAAGATTAGAGCACTTGGGGTTAAAAAAACATACTTAACAAAGGACCACAAACTGAAATTTCTGGCAAAGCTCAGCAGGTCTGGCAACATCTGTGGAGAGAAATCAAAGTTAACATTTTGGGTTCAGTGAACCTTCCTAAGAACATATCATACCTGGATTAATGTGAGAAGTTCTGACCGCCATGTTTAGAAAGGTTATATTGATCATGGAAGGAATGTAGCATGGATTAACAAGATTAGCAAGATTAGCAAGATTAACAAGATTAACAAGAACTTGACCTCCACAGATTAAATTACAAAGGGAGATTACACAAACTAAGATTGTGCCCTGGAAATCAAATGGTTATCAACAACAACTTATATTCAAGTTGTCATTTCGTAGTACAGAATTTAAATATTGCTGAAAAAGGCACATTTTATTGAAGATTTTCCTCTTGCACTTCGGGCATTTCACAAGAATACAATTTCAAGGGGAAAACAAATATTTATACTGCATGAAAGAGGACAGTGCTGATAGTTTGGCAAGTTGACTCTAATTCATATAAGTATTGATATATAGGATGTACCATTTATGCTAATTGACAGTTAACAGTATTGATTTTTTAAATTTTTGAACCAGGCAGGGTGATTCTGATTGGTCACCTATTTTATTGGCTTGAAATAGGCATAGTACATGTACATGTTCTTTCTGTCTGCAAAAGAATCAGACCCTGTTTATTAATATATGCAGCTTCTAGTAAATGGAAATGCACCATGCTGCAAGTCTTACTTCAATAGTCTGGGATAAAGACCATTAGGTCCTGGAGAGTTATCAACTTCTGGCCCTGTTAATTTCAGTACAAACTTCTTATTACTGTTAGTTTCCTTCAACTTGTCATCCTGTCAAGCCATTGGATCTCTAGTTCTGGACAATTTCTGGTATCATCCTCCATGAAAATACGCATGAAATAATTGCTTAACTTCTCTGTCATTTCTCTATTCCCCATTATAAATTCTCCTGACTCTGCCTTTAATGGAGCCACATTCATTTTAGCCAAACATTTTCCTTTCCATAACAGTAGAAGCTTTTACAGGCTGCTTTTATATTATTTTGCTCGGATGCATTCATAATCTTTATTCCCTTTCCTTAAATTCCTGGAAATCCTTTTGTTGTATTCTATAAAGTTCTAAATCATCATAATAACTGTTATTTATGGCTACTTTATAGACCTTTCATTTTAATCTAATGTAATCCTGAACTTCCTTGACCACTTGTGGTTTACCGACCTTTCGAGTTTTTGACCGTTGCATCGTTTTTTATTCAGTCATGGGACATTGGTGTTCTGGCTGTCCAGCATTTATTGCCTGTCTTTTGTTGCCCTTGAGAAGATGGTGGTGAGCTGCCTTCTTGAATTGCTGTAGCCCGTGTGCTGTGGGTTGACCCACGATGTTGTTAGTTGCTGTAAGTCATTCAATACTTCTTTAAAAACTATCCATTGCCCATATACAGAATTCATGGAGTCACAGAGTCATACAACATGGAAACAGACCCTTTGGTCCAACCTGTCTATGCCAACCAAGTTTCCCAAACTAAACTAGTCCCATTTGGCCCGTATCCCCGTAAACTTTTTTTCATTCTTTGGTGGCACCGTGGCTCAGTGGCTTAGTGGTTAGCACTGCTGCCTCACAGCGCCAGGGACCCAGGTTCGACTCCAGCCATGGGTGACTGTCCGTGTGGAGTTTGCACTTTCTCTTCACGGTTTTCTTCCAGGATGCTCTGGTTTCCTCCCACAGTTCAAAAGATGGGTAGGTTAGATGGATTGGACATGCTCAGTTGCCCAGAGTGTGCAGGTTGGTGGATTAGCCATGCAAAATGCAGGATTATAGGGATAGCCTCGGGGCTGGAACTGGGTGGGATGCTCATCGGAGGGTCAGTGTGGACTTGATGGGCTGTCTTCTGCACGGTAGGGCTTCTGTGAGTCATGTACCTGTCCAAATGTATTTTAAATGTAGTAACTGTACCTGCATCCACCACATCCTCTGGCAGATTATTCCACATACGAATCACCCTCTGTGTGAAAAATTTGGCCCCAGGTACCTTTTAAATCTTTCTGCTTTCACCTTAAAATTGTGCCATCTAGTTTTGAACTCTCCAATCCTAGGGAAAAGATCTTTGCTATTTACCTTATCTATGTCCCTCCTTATTTTATAAATCTCTACAAGATCATCCCTCAACCTCCTATCAGCCTCTCCTTGTAACTCAAACTCTCCAGTCCTGGCAATTTTCTTGTCAATCTTTTCTATACCCTCTCCAATTTAATAATATCCTTCCTATAGCAGGGCAATTAGAACTGTAGTCAGTACTCCAAAAGTGGCCTCACCGTCCCAATTCCTATACTCAATGGTCTGAGCAATGAAGTCAAGCATGCCAATGCCTTCTTTATCACTCTGTCTGTGATGTAACTGTGTACCTGAATCCTTAGAGGTCTGTGTTTGACAATACTACCCAGGACCCTATCATTAACTAAAAACCAAAAGAACTGCGGATGCTGTAAATCAGGAACAAAAACAAAGTTGCTGGAAAAGCTCAGCAGGTCTGGCAGCATCTGTGAAGGAGAAAACAGAGTTAACGTTTAGGGTCCGGTGACCCTTCCTCAGAACTGATGGTGGCTGGAACATTCAGTTTATATGCAGAAAATAGGGAGATAGGTGAGGTAGGGAGTAAACGATAGGATAGAGCCCAAAGAGAGAGAAAGACAGTTGGACAGACAAAGGAGTTGCTAGCGATCAGGCTGGGAGGGTGAATAGTTGTTAATGGGGACTGTTAGTGACTAACAACAGGGGGTGTGTAATGGCAGGCTATGTGATAACAAGGCCTGGTGTGTGGGGTAGGGAGCTGGGACATGGGAGAATTTCGGCCCTAAAATTATTGAACTCAATATTGAGCCCGGAGGGCTGTAGGGTCCCCAAGTGGAAAATAAGATGCTGTTCCTTCAGCTTGCATTGGGCTTTGCTGGAACACTGCAGCAAGTCAGAGACAGAGATGTTGGCCAGGGAGCAGGGTGGTGCATTAAAGTGGCAGTCAACAGGTAGCTCAGGGTCTTTTTTGCGAGCAGAACGTAGATGTTCCGCGAAGCAGTCGCCAAGTCTATGCTTTGTTTCCCCAACGTAGAGGAGACCACATTGTGAGCAGCTGCATTTTCTGCGTATAAACTGACGTTTTCTTGAGGAGTTAAATGCCTGTTCCTGTTCCTATGTTCCTTGTGGGTGAAAGAATTAAGATCTGAAGTAAAGAGTAGATACTTGGGCCTCATTTGTTACTAGAATAAGCATTTGATAACTCGGAAGAGAATTCATTTTCCTGATTTCTTTCAGGAATTCACTGTTGACTTTAAGAAGTCAAGGGTATTAAAAACTGTAGTATTGACAAACCATCTCTAGATGTCTTTAGCAAGGTTTCTAATATAAAACTACATTACTTGCTAATTTTATCAGTGACATCTTGTGGCAGAAGGTCAATACGACAACAAACTGTGTCAGCTCTATTTCTGCTTTCAGTGT